GGTTAACATATGGGAGGTTTTCATAAATATCTTTCCTATGTTAAGAAATTTTACTCATAGCTAGAGGATGCATCTCTCAGTTTGGTGGTGGTGGTGAGCTGTGGTGGGACAAACAAGTTGGAGAGAAGATGATGAACAGTTTTTAACGTGGTTAAGTACATGGGCTCCAGAGACAAAAGTCCAGAGACTTTTCTCCAAGCTTGGAACCAAGTCTCGTTGCCTGAGCTACAGCTTTCCCTTTATCACCAGGAGATTATTTCTGATCATAGTTTAAAAAAAGTAAGCTTATTCTTGCCAAAATCATTTTTATTTGTTTCAATTTCCCTCATTATTCTAAATGTAAAATCCCTGAATTAGAATAGGAAATGTGTAAGAAGCTGAGACAAACTCCAGCATGGTGAGTAAAGAACAGAATGAGAAACTGGGTTCAGTAGGACAACGTTATAAATTCCCTCTCTAGAGAGCTACTCTCCAAAGACACTCCTTAAGAGGTAAAGGGGTTCATTTGAATTGTTCATTTGATTCTATCTAGATCATGAAACTGTTATTCTTTTTGCAACTGTCAAGTCACCTTCACAGTATATATAAGAAAGAGAGCTAGAGAGGGCAAGTCCAAAGAATGTCCTCGACTCATTTCTTAATCTTGTAATGTTCTTACTCCAAAAAGTTTCCTCAGCAGTTCATATGAATTCCCACAATAATGCATGGAACATTATTATATTTGCTTTTTCTGAGATATGAGACTAGAGTTTGCACTCTGACGTGGAAGATGACATTCAGCCAAACAGATTTCTGTGATGCGCACTCTGTTTCTTCAGGTAAAGTAAAGCTCACATGACTCCAAACTCCCCTATTTCCTCATTTCACCTTTCTCTAGTTTTATATTCTGCAACTTAATATGAGAATTATGAAAGTATTCCTTCTCTGGGATCAAAGCCAACATTTTTTGCTGAGAGCTTATAAAAAAATTTACTTTAAAAATTTGCTCTTAAAGAGGCTTACCAGCTCCCCCTTTGTATTCTGACTATATATGACGAGGTTCAAACGCTGCATCAGAGAAAATTCCAGAAAATGAATGTGCATACATCTTCCTTCAATGAGACTTCAAGTGATATATTGCCTATCCCTGTTATATTTACTTCTAGAAGCTAGGAGACAAGGGCGTTTTACTCATAGTTTGACTGCAAAATTTGAGGAACAGTCTCTGTGAGCATAACTGACTTTGACATATCTTTATAAATGATACATATTTGACTTTAATAACTATCAAACTATTTTATATCAAGTGTAATCTTAAGGAAGAACAACATCACATAGATTAGGAATTGAGTGTGTTGTGGGGGATGATGCTCGATCGATATGAAGGATAATATTATTAGTAGAGTTTGTTTCCTTAAGTTTCTTGGTAAAATACAGCAGATTGTCAGCACCCCTCTTGCAGGCAGAGATTAACATTAACCCACTTTTCTAACATATTGTTTGTCTTTTACTTATTGATTTTCAGCACTCCTTTTGATATCTGGATGTTACTTTTTATTTGGAATTACTTTGGCATTTCTTTTACTATTATTATATGGTGTCTTGTTTTTCCGAAGTTTTTTTTTTAATACAACTAAAAATATGTTAATCTCTATAGATTTGGTTTTACTATGCCCTGTTTAACAAAGTTTTCCATTTTGTAATGCTAATATTCTCCTGTATAAATTTCCATTTATTTTATATTTTAAAGTTTTGCTTTTCACAATTCAGTTTTTAATTCAATCTGGGAAATATCTTTGTATATGTCAAAGATGAGGGTTACTTATATGAGTAGCTTTAAAAAATTTACTTCATTTTAGAAAGATATAAGTATTATACACAGCAGTTTTTCAAACTGAAAATATTTATACTCATAAAATAGATTCAATATAATTAATAAAATATCGATTTTACTTTCATATGTAATCAGTTACTGTGGAGAAACAGGATAAGAAGTGAAGAGGTAGATAGAGATTTGTGGGAGGAGGAGAGAGAAAAAACTCAGTTGGATAGAAGGAAACTGGACACCAGGAAAATACCATATGAAACCTGGAGAAGATATGCTACAGTTGAATAAATTATAGACATGTCAAGAATTACAAAAGTGTTTGCACACACAGACACACAGACACACACAGAAACCAAATGAAACAGAGAAATATGTAGACACTAAGATATTTAGAGACATATCGACAAACGTATGGGAATTATTAGAATGAATGAAAACATATGAAGTGAGAAAATCCAGTCAATGGAAAAGCAAGAGAGAATTGTTGAGGGCTTGTAGGGGCTGAGATTGAGTAACACTGTCAGTCATTCAATCTAGGGCATCAGTCTGGGTAATTGTTTGTGTTTAGTTTGGAATTCTCATGAATTGACTGGCTTAAAAAAAATTCTTCCTTAGTATAAATCCATTGCTTTTCAAATGTCAAAGCTTATTTTTTAAAATAACTTTTTTTTTAAAAAAAGACATATTTTCATGAATTTAAAGGGTTTGAATATATTTGAACTCCTGATTAAGATTTTAGGCCTACGGGCCAATTTCTTTCTTTTTTTTTTTTTCTTTCTTTTCTCTTCATTTCCAAGTTGATTGTCCTATTTTATGGTATATTTTTTCAAACTTTATTGAAGTATGATTGACAAATAAAAATTAGATACATTTAAGAGTACAATGAGGGGCCAGCCTTGTCACACAGTGGTTAAGTTCACATGTTCTACCTTGGTGGCCCGGGGTTCCCTGGTTTGGATCCCGGGTGCAGACACAGCACCACTCGGCTAAACCATGCTGTAGTAGGCATCCCACATATAAAGTAGAGGAAGATGGGCACGGATGTTAGCTCAGGGCCAGTCTTCTTCAGAAAAAAAAAGAAAAAAAAAGAGTACAATGAGATGATTTGATAAACTTATACAGTGTAAAATGATTACCAAAATCAAACTAATTAATAAATCTATCACCTTATGTAGTTATTCTTTTTTTTCTTTGTTTCAGTTATAAGATTAATAAATTCTGGAGATCTAATGTACAATGTGGTGCCAATAGTTAATGTATTGTACACTTGAAATTTGCTGAGTGTTCTCACAACAATTTGTTTAAAATTTAGCCTGTCTACGCTATGTAATGCCAAACCAAACCAAAACAAAAAAATATTATATCTTCACATTATAGAGTCATTTATTTTTGCAAATAAAAGCTTCACCATTCTATAATGCGTGAATGTTGAATTTAAAGTTGACGTGTTTTTATTTCCTAAAGGCTATTTTTTTCCAAAGTCAAACTACTATTTTCATATGTAATCTTAATGATGACAATGTTTAGAGAAAATAGCAACAATACAATATACCAATGGAAAAATGCACACAAGGCAAGCACTACATAATGCTCTGATCCAAACTATAGTTTGCCCTGCATGGTTTGGAAAAGGATTTAATTATTTTACAGAAGGCGAGATTTATCTAGAACAGTGGGTCTCAAACTTGTTGATTTGGGAGCTCTTTATAATCCTAAAACTCGTCAAAGACCCCCAAAGAGCTTTTGTTTATGTAAGTTATAATTATTCATGTTTACCATTTAGAAATGAAAACAGGAAAAATAATGTTTAAATAAAACTTCATTTTAAAGTAGCAATAATAAACTAAACATATTAACATAAATTTCAATTTGAAAATAATTGTTTTGTCAAAATAACAGAAAATAGTGTAGTTATATTTTTTGAAAATCTCTTAATGTTTACCTTAAGAGAGGACAGTTAGATGCTTGTATCCACTCCCCTAATTAGTATTTTGTGAGATCACCCATCATGCAGCCTGAAAAACTTCATTTAAGTATCAACAAAACTGAGAATGAATGAAGCAAATATTTTAGTCGTATTATGACAATAGTTTTGACCTCGATGCCCTGAAAACTTTTGAAGAACATCCGTAGTCCCTGGACTGTACCTTAAAAACCACTCTTCTAGAACGTCAGATTTGAGTATTTTCTTTTTCCACACAAAATACCTGAGATTTGAAGACTCACTCTCTGTAATAATCATATGGTATTGGAGAGTCTTATTAAATACTATCTTCTATCTTCCATATTTATATTTTTTGAATTACTCAATGATTATGATCATTGTAAATGTGGCTAATTCGAAGAATTTAAATTACAGTGTTGGAGAATCAACTTAGAGAAAATTTGTCATTAGATTTGAAATTTAGAAAGTGGGATTTCTTCACTATAAGATTACGAGTAGGAAATATATCCATTTACCTGGACTGTTTTTATTAATAAATTCAATGGTCAAGATCTCTTTGACTTTCTATGCAGCATATCAGGTACTGTAATGCAGTGAACATTTAAAAATTATATACATATCGTATTTTTAGAGTGTATTTTTACTGAAAGGAGGAATTGAAAAGGGAAATCTAATAAATTTTCATTTTAACATTTATTTATAATCTATTCTAGAAAAAATATAGGAATAATTCCCGTAACCTAACACAATAAAGCTAAAAGCAATTATCTTATAAACAGTGTTAAAATCTATTGGATACTGTCCTCAAACCATCTTGCATATTTCTCTCAAAAATAGAGCAAACAATATAGAGCATCATTCTCTTTAATATCTTTGTATGTCACAAACACTGAGTTATCTCCTGGCTGTGTTCATTCAGTTCTTATTCATTCAATGCTTGACCTGACATTGGACATCCTTGTATATAGTTGCTCACTGTCAATACCAACTAAGTTTGATAGTAAACCTCAGGATGACTGGAAAGTGACAGTTCACTTTGTATTTTTATTATATCCAGAGTAAGTCTATGAATACCTCAAAATAATGGAAATATCACTGCATGAGTCATGATATTTTGTTACTTACTGACATGCAGAATGATGTGACCCAAAGCAAGACATCTGCCCTAATGAGTAATAATATCTAAGGTCACTTCTAACATGGAAATTTGTTGTTTTTGCAGCATTAAAAACAAACCAATATTCCACCATGAATAATTGCTCTAGCTCTGTGAGTAAATTCATCCTTTTAGGCTTCCCTTATGCCTGGGAAATTCAGATGCTCCTCTTTTCAATCTTCTCTGGGAGATATATTCTGACACTAATTGGAAACCTGTGCAATCTGTGCTGTAAGGTGGGACCATCAACTACAAACTCCAATGTACATGCTGCTGGCAAATTTTTCCTTCCTGGAGATCTGGTTTATCACCTCCACTGTCCCTACCATGCTAGCCAATTTTCTCTCTGAGAACACCACCATCTCTGTTTCTGGCTGCTTCCTTCAGTCTTACTTCTTCTTCTCCATAGGCACCACTGAGACCTTCTTCTTGTGTGCCATGGCCTTTGACAGGTACCTTGCTATCTGCAGGCCCCTGCACTACCCCACTGTCATGACAGTTCAACGCTGCATCAGAATAGGAGCCTGCTGCTGGGTGTGTGGCTTCTTGTACTTCCTCTTGCCTGTTTACCCAATCTCTCAACTCCCGTTTTGTTGTCTCAATAAAATTGATCACGTCCTTTGTGACCCAGATCTCCTAATTAAGCCGTCTTGTGTGCCAGCGCCTGCCACTGAGATCCTCTGTGCCATCTATAACTCAGTCCTCATTTTCTCCACCTTACTTTTCATTACAAGCTCCTACATCCTGGTAATTAAAGCTGTGCTCAGAGTCACCTCAGCAGAAGGCGGGCATAAGGCCTTCTCCACATGTGGTTCCCATCTGGCCGTGGTATCCTTATTCTATGGCTGTATCATGGTTGTATATGTGAGTCCAACAGCAGGCAATCCAGCTGAGATCCAGAAAATTATGAGTTTGTTCTATTCTGTGATTACTCCACTTTTCAACCCCTTGATCTACAGTCTCCGGAATAAGGAAATGAAGGTAGCTCTGAGAAAATTATTCAGAACCCTGCTATTTAGTCAGAGGCACAGAAGAAATGTTTGAAGAATTGTGTTCATAACTGAAATAATATATAGAAAATAAATAATTAAAAGATTGATATTCAATTGTATTAATTGAAATGGAAAATATCTTTTTGGGGGGAGGAGGAACATATTCAAAGTAATAAAATGTTTATAAAGCCAATTGTATTCATCTGTTCGTTTTTTATTATTAGTGAATAATTTGTATTAATAGTAAAATTTTTCAAATTTAAAGAAAAATAATCAAAGAAAAAATTATCAGTCATCTTGCTGGAATTCAGATTTAATACTAGTTAATATTTGGCTGCCAATATTACATACACATGTACACACAATCTGTCCTGGATTTTACATTTATTATTAAAATTTTTCAGGTGAGTCAGAATCTATGTATGTTATCTTTACAAAACAATGTTTAAATGCTAACTCTTGTGTCAATAATAAAAACATAAAAAACACGCATTGAGTTTTCTCATGAAAATTTATTTATCATAATTGTATTTCTTCTCACTTTCTCACCAAGATTTAGTGAAAATACTTTGTATTTAGATCCAGATGATTGCCATTAAATTTTTTCCTTTATGTATTTACTTCTAAGAATTATTTTTGAAAAGAGCTCTATTTAGGATGAACTTTGCATTGCCTTTTCCTGATATGCCATTTTTGCCAGTAGGTTAAGATGTAATGGCTGGTAGCTCCCAGGTACTGTTGTAATTACAGAAGTTGTTAGAATTGCCTCTGCTAACTATCTCAAGGGTAGTAGTATCTTATACTCTCAACCAGAATTTTCTTCATTCCACAAAGAAATCCTTTACCCAGTAGCAATTTCTCCCCACTCTTACTTCTCTAAAGTCCTGGCAATCACTTTCTGTTTCTGTGTTTTTGTCTATTCTGGACATCATATAAATGGAATCATACAATATGTGGCCTTTCCTGATTGGCTTCTCTCATTTAGTATAATGTTTATGAGGGTCCATTTTTGTTGTAGCATATACTAATGCTTCATTCCTTTCTATGGCTGAATAACATTCCATTGTATGGCTATTCTACATTTTGTTTATCAATTCAGCAATTGATTGGTATTTGAATTGTTTCTATTTTGTAGTTATTATGAGCAACACTGCTATGAACAGTCCTGAATAAGTTTTTATGTGAACGTGTTTTCTTTCTGTAGTGTATATCCCTGGGAGTAGAATTGCTGGGTTGTATGTAAACTCTATATTTAACATTCTAAGGAACTGTCAGACAGTTTTGCAAAGAGGCTGTATCATTTTTCTATCTCACAAGCAATGCATGTAATGAGAATTTCAATTCTCTGCATCCTTACCAATGCTTGCTATTTCCTGCCTTTTTGACTTTAGCCATCCTAGTAGGTGTGAAGTGGTATCTTACTGTGTTTTTTTAGCATTTTTCCTCATGACTAATAAGATTGATCATCTTTTCATGTGTTTATTAGCCATTTGTATGTCTTAGTTGGAGAAACATATAGTCAAACCCTTCAACCATTTTTAAATTGGGTTATTTGTCTTTTTATCATTGAGTTGCAGAAGATATTAATATACTTTGAATATAAGCCTCTTATCAGATATAAAATTTGCAAATATTTTCTTCCAGTCTATAAATTGCCTTTTTACTTTCTTGAACATGTTCTTTGAAGTTTTGAATTTTGATAAATTTCAATTTATCTACTTTTTTAATTTGTCACATGTGCTTTTGGCATCATATGTAAAAAAAACTCTTCCCAAATACAAGGTCATAAAAGTTATGTCTATGGGTATTTATACTATTATTTTTCAGTGAAGATGATTTTTTCAACTTTTGAATTTATTTGGTTATTTTAACAGGAATTTGTTAAGACAGGAATCATATGCAAGTTCCAAATAACTATTTTGAAGTAAAAGCTCCCCAAACACTATTTTGGTGGTAGCCATGTTGCAGCAAATAATTTGCTTATCAGTGTGTGAGAGAAAGGAATTAAAGCAGTTGGTCTGCTTTCCATTCAACTCCTTCACCAGAAAGACATCCCTGGGGGTAAAAGGGTGATGATTTCATGGATGGGATGTACACTTATCTCCAAACATCTAGTTGTATGCTTTAAATATGTACAACTTTTTAGGCCAATCATACCTCAATAAAATGATTTTTTTTGTAAAGAAAAAAAGAAAATGGATTGGGTATATGTAGCATATTGAAAAGAGTATCTCCAACTTCTCTAAGCTGTGATTCTGATCCAGCAATTTGCTTATTGCTTGTTCCACACTACTTCATTGACTCTTCACAACCATTTGTAGTTTCACTGAAGTTAGAGATATCCAGGACCTTCTCAAGGCAATACAGATAGTAAGTGGTTGAATGGGGACTGCAACCAGGAACTGGATTTAGAATCAAATTCTTAAACATGACATAATATTACCCCTTCCCTCAACTCCTTGAAATTAAGAACTTTATTTTAAAATTTACTTTCAAATTTTACAGAAATATCAGTTAGGTAATAGAAGTAAAAAAGATACAGGCAAATTCCAGAGGTAATTATGTTTCTTTTCTTGTTTTCTTTTTTTTTTTTTTGGACCTAAAATCCTGTCAGTGTTGAATTTAGGAAGAGCAATTTACCACAACTATACCATAGGTCAGAATAAACAGGCTTCACTATTCAGTGGTGAGAGGAATCTCATAGTGTTATCAATTATTTACCTGAAAGGAAAGGAAAGTTGTCTCCTGAACAGCAAATATCCACACAATCACACATAGAAAGATGAATGGTCCAAAGAATAATATGACAACTGAGATGTGAGCAATCAATGTGGAGTTGGCCTTTGCCACACTGGCAGAGGAGCGATTCTTAGCTGTGATAAGTATCATAGTGTAGGAGACAACCAAGAGGAGGAAGGAACTCATAGAAAGAAAGCCACTGTCTGCAACTCTTAGTAGGCTGACAGCATAAGTGTTTACACAGGCCAGCTTTGTCACTAGAGGGAGGTCACAGAAAAAACAGTCTACCTGATTCAGATCACAAAATGGCAAGTTAACAGTAAATGCCCATGGGCTAGTAGTATGGATGAAGCCCACAAATTGGGAGATGAGAATGAGAATAATACATACATGGTGGCTCATGATTGCCAAATAGTGGAGATGTTTGTATGTAGCAACATAGTGGTCATAAGCCATGGACACAAGGAGAACCATTTCACTACCAGTGTAAAAGTGAACAAAGAAAATATAGGCCAGGCAGACATCAAAAGAAATAGTCTTGCACCCAACCAGAAAGTTTGCAATCATTTTTGGAGTAGCAAAAGAGGCAACATGTGTATCTATAAAAGAGAGGTTTGCAAGTAGAAAGTACATGGGGTTATGAAGCTGAGCATCACTGAGTTCACATTGAGGATAATGAGAAAGTTGGCCAGTAGTATTGTTAGGTAAAGTAGTGAAAATATGACAAATAAGAAAGGCTGGAGCTCCTGAGAATTAGAAAGTACAAGCAACACAAATTTGGTCACTCAAGAATGATTTGTTTCATTCATTGACTTTGGAATGAACCTATCTTCAGTAACCTGAATAGGAGAGAAACAGGATCAATTAATGAACAGAGTATGGGTTTGATTTCCCGATTCCACTTCAGTCCCTATGGATTCTAATTTCTTCTTACATTTATGTGTTTGAGTTTTCATGCATTATTAAAAATTATATAGACAGCATAACAACATTAGTAAATAATGAAGGGGAGAGATGTCAAGATGTTCCACCAATGGCATATCCAACTACATGAATTTAAGAAATGTAATAAACTAATTTACAAATGAAATTGAATACTTGAAAAGTTATTTTTTGACATTACAGAAATTCACTGTACAAATCTACAGAGAAAATATCTAAATTATTTTTCTACAATAAATGTTATAACAATTTTCTTGAATGTCGAACACAGAGCAAGATAATTTTACAGACTTAATGTTGACCAAAACCTTAGAAAAAAAGAGTGTGTAGTGTAGGAAGCTGTTTAGATAAATTTCAAAAGTAGGCAAAACTAATCTATAGTGTTAAAAAAAGCTCCAAGAATAGTTATCCTTGAAGAGGAATAAAGGCAAGAAGACAGAAAGGAGCTCTGAATTGTTGGTAATGTTCTGTTTCTTGATGTGGCTCACTTTGTGAAAATGTATGAAGATTGTGCAATTCTGCTTTGCGCACTTTTGTGTGTGTTATATATTTATAAAAATTAAAACAGAGAGAAAGAGACAGCATTATACCACGTGAGAGAGCTCATATGAAGAATCCTTGCCTTGAGCGGTTAGGTCTCATCCACTTCTCTATCCAGTTACAAACTATATAAAGTGAAATACAAAACCACAGAAGAAATGAAACACTGAGAGCTTATTGGCACTCTTCCTGGAGCTGTGATTCAGCTTTGCATGGAGTTCCGTCACATGAAGGAATCTAGTGAGCTTTTTTCTTTCAAATATTCCCTGAAGATGCTAAGCTTCTTTAAACTCAGTCTTTGGTGTTAGTAACCATAGACATATTATTGAATTATGATTGATATTTGATTTGATTTGGTGGGGCTTTTAAAAACTATAGTTATATTGCATAAGAGTATTCATCATAAGAAATTCAGCTCATGAGAAAAATGTTTTTCCCTTTTACTGGGTTATTCTACATTCTATTTTACCCAGACTTTCTTCTTTTTATGTTATTTTTACTTTTACAAGCTATCTAGAGCTTAGAAAATCTGTGTGGTGGATAAGAAGAATAAAAGGTGAAATGTAAAGAAGCATCTGCTTTTGAGAATCTTTCTCTACAGGTCTGGGGTGAGAGCGTCTTTGGTTTATTGATTTTTAATCACCTGCAATGCTTAAAGTTAACATCTTCTTAGATCACAATTCAAATAGCCTAGAGTCTCCTTGAGTTTCACTGAGGAGTTTATGCATAGCAACAGGGCATATGATGAATAATTTTAATGCCTAGGAACCAAATTCAGTCCCTGTATTTCAAATCTGCAACTATCTACAAAACCCACCAAATATTAATTCA